TTTGTTCAAAAAACTCACATTCATACGATGTTTTCTGGCTGTAAGTCACTCATAAATGAAACAAAAAATGAAGGAATGGGTTGGTACACCAAAGTGTTCCAACAAACCACACTAGAATGCATGGTGTTAGTTGGCGGTTACCCGCTTAACAATAATCAAATAGAAAGGCCAAATGTACGATCCTGTTTGTGGTATCGTGGAAGCGCGATATTGAGAAGTTACATACTAGGACGAAACAGCTGTTCAGTGCTTCCAGGTTTTCCATGGTAATTTAGCTTACATCGATTCATAAATTCAACAATTAAAATATGTCTGGAAACGTATTGACCATTAGTTCGGTTCTAGTGTTGTGGGACTGGGAGAAATGCTGGCCGAATTGCTGAAAAATAGTATCAGGGTCATCAAAAATGCCTCCATTAAATATGGAAAGTTTTCTATACCAAGAGAATCAGATTTCACACATGATTTGAAAGGTCGAGGTATTGATAACTCTGAGCTTTTATTACCTGAGGCCTTATTCTATATAGTTATAATACAAATGCGTTTGGATGGATCACTTTTCCATCAAGTATATTCTGAAGTGTATACATGTTGTGATGCTTCTGGTAGCGGTGTTTCAATTTTCTCAGCTTTCTCTTAAAGGTATTAAGATTGTTTTGGCTCTTATTAGCATTATAACCCACATGACCGATAATTGGAGCAGTACAATGTAGGCAATATGTCAGATTGTGGTGTAATTCTGAAAGCGCAGTGTTAATATTACTTGTAACGAAATAAGATTTCCATGGTAAGCATCGAATAGGAGTTGTGGTACATCGTTGCAACCTCACGGTTCAATCCCATGAGGTTCAGAGATGAACAGTACTCTGTACGACTCAACGATCACTCATAAAAATGCACAACTGATGTGCACTGGGATAGAATGAATAATGAATCAAGTATATCGTTTCTTCTGGTTGGCTTTCGAACATGATGGACCCATCAACAAAGTTTTAATTTTCCGACTAACTTATCATATCGACCTGGGACCTAAGTAGAATTTCAATCAACGTTTGGCAGATTAAAAACATCTCCGAAGATTTTAAACGCATGCGGTTAGTGTGATGTCCGAAAATACGTTTGCTATTAATTCTTCATAGTATCTCTATGGGGTGGAATGTACACACATCCCACCAGTAGATAATTTTGCGATCCACAGTTTATAGGAACACAGGCGTAATTATCGTTAACATCAAGATTTTCTTCCTCAAGTTTACATGCCTAGATGTCCGAACGGATAGAGATAATTGTAATATACTTGCCGGTGTAGGCAGAAAAGCCGCGGAATTACAAAAATGTCTGCTGAGTGTTGTTGATTGTAACATCGGATAGAGGCATAGTGTATATACTGGGAGCCGGAACAAGAAGGCTATTAGGTTTATGTGTGCAAATAAGTGGCTGTTTATAATTCGAATTATTTTTTATACCTGATGTACGTGTAACATGTTCTGGACGTTTATTTGCAAAGTTTGTGGTTTGTTTTAGCTCCTTCGTAATTCGAGGAGAATCAAGTGTTGTTAAACCTACTTGCAACGATTTTCAAGGTTTTAATATATAGGCGTTCATTGCGTGCTCAGTCATATAAATGTTATGACTATTTTTCCCGTTATTCGTTGCACAGTTACTGCACTGACAATAATTCGAACCGTGTTGTCTGATTGGTAATCAGCACAACTATTTTGGGTTAGATCTAAATTAACATTTTAGGAGGATGGACACCACATACACTGAGGCGACTTTCTTCTGGGTCTTGAACTTCTAGATATTAAAGAGAGGTTTTCGTGCCTATTTGTAGCCCTCGTACTATTGATAGAAGAAACCAGACAAGTAGTGAATAGGTCTTTATTTCGATCTTAGCACAGTCACAGTGGAGCGTGGGATTATCTGTTCAGACAAACAAAGGCTTTCAACATTCAATATAAGATAATAGGTAATATAATGCTTATACAAAATAAGGAAGTTAATGAATACTTGAACAATACTGTTTTGGCATATGCTTGGTTGTTTGGGGTCAACTCTTAACCAACCAAGCATATTTATAAAGTCAGAGGTTGTTTTAGAATCGGACTTCATTTTATGACCTTTAGGATTCTGATGAGTTTAGGAGCTTAACACTAGTGGTCTGTAACTAGTTATTCCTGCTTTTCGCTGTAATTATGTTTCATCTGAGAGAATTTTAATATTCTTCAAAATCCATCTTTATGTCATCGTATTAGAGAAAGTCGAAAACTCGCTGGCATCTACAGATTACTTGAATCTGAACAGTACCGGTGAGTGCACACCAGGGTGACTTCGTTTAAGTCTTGTGCTCACACATGGTATATGTGTCATATTCCTGGCTGTATAGAGATTAGACTTGATATTTTTAAGAGCACAGGTGTCCGTCATACTAAACACGGTTGCATTTCTGGATCATCTTATTCTTTCATACACGTTTTAAGCAACACGATTTAGGAGATTATTTGCATCATTCATCTGACCTGAAGTTTCCACAAGATTAAGGCTGATGAGATGCCTAAGAAGATTGTTACTGTTTATGTCATCCATATTGTTTCAGTGATGATTATCATCGCTCTTTACCAAAAGAATTTTCAACATGTTTGGAATGACGAGAACTGACAAAAGCTTATCTGTTTCTAGATGAACGGAGTATCTCAACTCGTTGAGACTGCTTGAAATCGCGTTGGTAGTGGTATTGAATCGTGTTGTTTTCCTATGTTTGACTGTAGGTCTCGAAGCGGAGGCTTTCAATCCTGTTTAAGGTATGATAAGAAAGTAATAAGTAGTAGATGAATTGAACATACTGTTGAAAGTAGAAACAGGTGCGAAACAGTGCTAAAAACAGTTCAGGAATCGAAACCTGTGTTTGAAACAAGAGTGAATTTATCGTGGGGGTTAGTGAAGATGTCACATACATGGAGGAAGTTGAAGGAACACCGTAATAGAGATGCCATAAAAGGCACTTTCTTCCAACGAAAATAATAGATATTAGATGTCATTATAATCTACCAGGAACGACGACCAGTTAAATTAAATCTAGTCGCTCCCATAGACAAGCTTTAACAAATTGTTTAACTACTGTGCTTGCATATATATTTAAATGAAATACACATTTCAATAACTGCTTAGTACAATCAAAGGATACAATGATTTCACATGTTTAACGATCTTGTGTGTTGTCTTGATTAATCACTCCCAATTTTCTGGAGTGTTGCTAACAGAACATAAGGTAGGGAAGATATTTATCACTAAATATAATCGATAAATAACAAAACGATCATGACGCTGCTGTTATAATAGTTCGACTTAACTATATCACTTAGCAAACATAAAACATTGTAGATGAACAATATTTTACGAAGTCAAATTTCCTCGGAGGTAAACGCACCGGACTGTTGCTTAATCGATTGCTCAGACAGAAGTTATATCAAGCTCACAGTACAAACCAAGCTACGATTGACGATCCTTACGCAATTTATAAGCACTCTAGCCGCTACATTTATGAAATATATCATATTGATTACGATATTCAATATGTCACTTGGCCAAGGCGAGCTACTTATATTTCGGAAGGATTCAAGTATCTCTCCGATTCAGAAACAGAATGAAGATTAATTTCATCTAGCTGTTTATCTTTCAGCCCCACCAGTGTAGTAGTTAAAATAACAAAAGCAATAATCAAAAAAGCCATAACGAGTCTGGTGACAATCATCAAGTTGTTAAACGGCCTAAAACACGGTTTCAGAAGAAATTTATTTTGAACGACGAGTCTCCTATAGAACAAGGGCCCTAGATAAAAATTAGTGTGTTTTGTACGTGACAAGGTGCTGAAAAACAAACTACTCTCGAACCTGAGAAATCTAGTAATAGGCTTGTCTTCTCTAAAGTGGATCAAGAATTTCTTATTAGCTCGTAGACAGAAATAAAGGAAACCACTTAGTAGAGTACTAAAAGGCTGTTTACCAGATCCTTTACTTTTTATATTGTACGTAAATGAAATCCCAAATACAGTCGCGTCCCCATTGCCACTATACGCTGATGATGTAAAATTGTGGAGAGAAATAACAGGAGTCGTTGATGCATATGCACTTCGGAAAGACATAGATGTTCTAATTAGTTGGTCTAAAACGTGACTGGTGCTTATCATTGATATGGATGACCACAGTGGAGTGAACACTAAAAGGACGTAGAAGACGGAAGATTTGAAGAGAGTAAACAAAGGGTGTTTGGTCAATGCATAAAACAGTGATATTTTCAAGATTTAAATAATTTTAAATATTGGGTATATTTGCACTATGCTGTCGAATAACTGGTTAAAAGATAGTCTCATCAGGAGTGTTCACTTTGCTAATTACGAAAAAGATTAACTGTGTAGATTTGGTAATATGGAGTTGTGATTAACGGACACACAAATGTGGACAGTCAATGTATCTTAATACGAAATTGCAGGATATCTTATTGAAATATGAGGACCATACACTGAATACTTCATTTGCGAATTTCCATCGTTTTTTCTTCACTCTCTGTATCACTCCTGAAGGTGACTTTGACATCTTGGAAGAATTAAAGAGGACAGCGACCTGTACAATCTTAGCACTTCGGGGTTTACCATAAAGATTGATTTGAAAATCTATGTATTTCCTCTGTCCTATAGCAGAAGAATAGGTGATGTGACTTCGATGGACTCCATATGTCCTACCTTTTTCTTCGCACCAGATCGGGACAACTCAGATTACTTAGCATGCAAGTAGAAAAACTAAGAAAAACATAAAGACTTTCACACTGAGTCATCAAATTATGGAACCTGTGAGCTGGAAAAGTGATGTCCACTCTTCAATTGACTCATCTTGTGGGAGACTAGATAGTCTCGAAAGCTCATTACAAAATAACAAAAACATATCATAGGCTTTCTGTTTTCTATACACCTATCTGAACATGAATCTATAGTTAATTGAATTTTCGTTACCGCGTGAATTGTAAGTATCGTTACAGTTTGGTCGTTATGTCCTGACATTTATGTTGTTTCGGGATTTGAAGATTCGTGGCTGATTTTAAAATCTTTGAATTGTCGATCTAATATCAACTATACATAAATCAAAATTATGGGCAACTCTTCCAGTGGTCACAAGCGTAGACCGTCACTGGACGACGATGTTCTCTCGAGCGTTCTTGCTGGTAAAAGATATGTATATCAAATGTCACATGTAGGTTCATCTTTACGGATTAGCATAAGTTTTACTCATTTCAGGACACTCCTGCCGAAGATTCCGTGATTAGCTTTGTTACTGGTAATTCTGCCGTTCATGCTATTGCGGACCAACTCCGTGATTCCAGACTTTATGACTCAGGAGGCAAACCAAATTTATTCCTTGGAGGACAGGCTCCAGGTCTAGATATGTCAGAAGAAAATCAACCTTTGCAGAGTGTACCAACTGTCTTTAAGTGGGATGGAGGAGGAAAAGATGTTTACATAAGTGGAACATTCAACGGTTGGAGGTCGAAAATCCCGATGGTTAAAAGGTTAGAAATGCATAATACCATATAGATAATCATAGTTAAATGTGGCTATCTATCTTAGCATGCCTGCATATTTTGAGCAGCCACTTCATTGTAGTCAATATTAAATTTGCACATCTAAAATAACCTCTTATCAAGGCATATTGAGAATCGGCGATAAAAAATCTGTCACAGTTGACCACAAACTACATCACTTAGTTTGTTTCGGATATTAGATACCCCCCAACCAATGGTTACGGTCCAATTAAGTAGTTTACATTTACCAATAAGTGTGTGTTCAATATCCAGTAACTTCATGTTCCTTTGGTGTATTCGTTTGAATGTTGCAAACATACTCCACCCCACCTCTACAGCAGCCAACATTGCAGTTCAAGGTTGGCGGTTGTCGGGTTTGCATATTACACAACCTTATCAATCCATTCTCCGCCTTTACTTGCCACTTGCCTATAAAATCAACATAACTCACTTCGTGGTTTTAGCATGCGTTAGCAATGCTCCATAGTCACCTGTGGGCAAGAACTAGAAGCCTACTAATGTTCCGTAGTCACAGAGTGATACAGAACCGACTATTGTTTAATATACTCACTCGTCGCTTGGCAGATGTACGTCTATTTGTCACAAACGATATATGTTGACTGGAAACAAATGAATTTCTAAAGTCTGTGACAAAACGTTGGCGGATGATAATACACTAGAATTATTAAGACTTCAAATTTATCACTCCCTAGTTTAGGCGTCTCGGCAGACCAGTTCTGAGGTACGAGATGGCATTCAAAGACAATGAAACGCATCCCAAACATGTTTGGGTTGTTGCTAAAGGCCAGCAAAAGGCTATATTGTGTCGGGGGGGGTCACCAAATAGAACTACTTGATCTGCGCATTCTAAGTCTAGCGAGTCTCCTTGTTATTAATCGATCCCTGAAAAGTTAAGTATTGAAATCTTCACTTTAAATAATATCTTTGACCAAGCTAGATAAAAATAGAGGAAGCGAGCAACTCTGACGAACACCACTTGGTGTTATCAGCACTGATAACAGTTTGCCATAATCTTTAACTCGAACACTACTATTCAGGTTGAGAGCTTGTACAAGGTTAATGTATTACATCGGCACGCCCTTCAGTGACACCATAAAACCTTCAGATCAACAGTCTAATGCCATCTTAAAGTTAGAAAATACAGCTATTGTTGGGCTTCGTTGGTATCCTTATATCTTTGAATCAGATGAAGAGTGGATATCTGGTCATTTCATCCACGTCTTGGATCAAATCAACCCGCTTTTCTCAGGTTCTGTTCCTGAAATCTAGATAACCGTCAGATAATCACTCAGTCTAGTGTATTTAGTTAAACTGATTCGTCTGCAGTTATCACGCGAGGATCTTTATCCTTCTTTATAATCTGGAACGATCGGCGACCGTGACCGGTCACATGGGTCTACATTCAGTGTACAGACTCAAGATAATACCTCAACCAATCTAAGTGACAAAACTGGATGACTATCCTCAAACATCTCCAATGTTAATCCATTGAAGCCACCCGCTTTCCACCGCTCGGTGCTAGTTATAGCCTTTTAGACTTTATTAAGAGTTGGGGAGCTTATTTTGACATTCCGTCCAGTTTGTTTGACAAAAGTTAGCAACTAGTAGGTAGTTGGAAGTCAGGTAAACTGTTTATGTGAGTGTTACGCCCATCGTTCCAAATATCTGGACTTATTAGATCGTAGCCCGTTTATTTATAATATGGTCTCACCAACACTTACCCCCATGGGGTTAGAACTACCAACACTAGTGTCACGGTCGGAGACGTTATCAGTTAGCTATCAAGGCGCCCAATAACTTGATTGAGGGTCTTACATTATCTATTATTAACCAATATGGTGGTTATTCAGTCTTTAGCATTGATCAAATTCTGTCGATCAGCTGAAATTCGAAAATTCCTGTCTAAATGGACGATCGCTTTTTGAATGCTATCATTCAATGCCTTATCTGATCCAGCTGTTCTAAGACCATGTTCCATTCAAGCTTATTACCTTTAACATTTGTCGTCCCAGAGGATTCCACGTCGTGCATTATTTGCCGACACTGAGACTGGTTGGTAAAAAAAGAGAGGTGGTCAGGTTATGGAATGGTATCGTGGTATGAAATAAAGCTGTACAGGACTGGCTTCTGTTGGTCCTTCACGACTCCCTGGTTGAGGTCCTAGAGTTGGTGCAACATAGTGGCTTGAGACGTTATCAGATATGGTTCAGAATAGAAGCCAGTAGAGGTCTTGCTGTAGCTTTATTTTACTTTCTTCACAAAAAATAAACGTAACTTCTTTGACTGGAAGAATTCTCTCTGGTTGTACTTTTGCTAACCGAACTGCCTTCTTGCACTATTATTATTTCACTACCATACAAAATTTTTGTTCGTTATTGTCCTCCTTTTTCTTATTCGCACTTTACATTATCTATCTCTTCACGTTCTCATCGTTATTATGTGATGCATATGTATTTGGTGCTTTTTTGTACCAATATTTCTATTTAAATAAATAAACTTTAACACTTGTAGTTTGACGTACACTGGACAATATTCAGGCCGAATAGACTAGATGTATTGTATCCTATACCTGTATTCAAGAGTTCATTTTAGTATTGTGATTCGAGGATAAAGCATTTATTTTAGAATAACAAAACTTCAAGATAATTTTGAAAACTGTTATTTATAGGAGGGTAGGAGTAAATACAATTATACCATTGTGACCGACTGAAATATTTTCACAAAATATCTTCAAACACTGGTTGCTATAATCTTCCAGACCTCAACCAGGTTAGCCAGTCAGTCAGTAACAACGTAGAACTTCGTATGTACGTACATCAGTTCGAGTTGTCATACCTTATTAGCACAGAAATGCAGTTGTCGATTTCAATCCCGCTCTGGTCGAGGTAGTAAGAGTATAAGCAGTAATAGGAAAGATTAGGGTTTGAAGATATTATTCAAGGGGTATAATACACTGAAATAAATTCGGAAAGGAAATAAGGGATGGGAAGAATTCAGAAGATTGGAATTTGGGAGGACACAAAGAGCGGATGCACATGCAACATTGTAAATGATTTTGAGTCATGTCATTCAGAGTCTCTAACCATCGGTCGCTATCATCTCGCGGACCCCAACCAGGTAGTCTACACCTACCAACATGGCTCAGTCTACTTGTCAGTGACTTCATGGACTTGTGCCATGTTTTGGTCTGGCGACACCTAGCTTTCTTCCAACCTTCTACACCAGAAAATATCGCACGTCGAGGCAGTCGGTCGTTGGGCATACGTAATACGTGTCCCAGCCATCTCAACTGATGAAGTTTCACTACTTCATCAATTGTTTTGCCATCCTTACCTAGTGCCCGTTTCCTAACAACTGCATTTCTTACTCGGTGGTCCCAGGATATATCTCAACCAGGTAGTATGAGCCTACCCACATGGAAAAGTACACTTATCACTGGATCCTTGGATTAATATTACGTTTTGGTTCGGTCACTTCTAACTTTCTCCTAGTGTGCTCCTATCAGTCAGTCAGTCTTACGTTGTAGCTCCTATACCATGTGAAGCAACTTATTTTTCTGTATACCGATTTCATTTACAGATCGTAAAATCATGTTTATTTTATTTTTATATCAGCTCAAGTAAACACAACTTTTATACGATCATTGATCTTCCTCTTGGTGAACATCAGTATAAATTTATTGTTGATGGTCACTGGAAGCTAGACCAAAACCAGGTTGGTTTCATTTCTAAAACTAATCAAGCTTTATACCTATTTGTTATTTTCGTCTCAATACGGAACTATTTGATACAACTTAATATTTGGAAATTTGCTGCTAAAAGTAATATGGCAGTATTACAAAACAATCCACTGTATTTTTAGTTGTAGCATTTTTCCTTGTTTTGATTATTTTACTATGATTGTGTGTTCAGTGACACTTATTCAGTTGATAAAATTCTGTAATCAGTAATCATTGAATCGATACATAACTGAATTAAATTGAATGTAAATTATTCCCTCTGGAGTTATCGATCAATAAAGTTTCTATGCAAATTAGACTTTACCATCCAGTTACCAGGCAAAGAAGAGGATAGAAGTAGCCTCATTCACTGTATTGAAGTTGGAGTTGCTATATAGTTGCTTAGTTCATCAACGTATCAGAAAAGAATTAGAATAATTGTAATATCTGATTATTTCAGGAAATGTGTTTATTCTACTGTGATTGTCCAAAAAATATTTTCTACTCACGAAAAATGCATATTTACTTAAATGTCTTGGTGTAACCTCATTAAAAATTCCTTTTTTAAAAATAAATGTAGACAGAAAACGTTATTAATGGATTTATAAACTGAAAACCGAGATAAATTTTTCACTTGTAAAGCTGTGTACCAATTTACATCATTTAGGTTCAAATAAAAGCATACAAAGTATCCTGTCTGAAATTTTGTTGGATATTATCTTTAAGGACTTTGCTTTATCAATTTCACCACCTAGCAGTTCGCAACTCAGAATAAGAGACAAATAGTTGAGGGAGAAATAAGTGTAGCTTATGATTATTGATATTAACTTCTACCAACTATTGTTTCTGTGTTGTTATCTACCACCAAATTAGTAAACTGGAAATGTTGAAGTATCTTCCGTCCACATATTATGTAGTGGTTGCATCTAGCCGAATATCTAAATCAAATAAATTCATTATTCAGTTGATTTTCTCTATCGCTTCCCCTCAGTAAGTTTACGGATTTCATTTTTGATCTTTATTATTTTCACCCGTTTAACAATCAGCCATTGTCCTCGTTGAAAGTTTTTTTCAATATATACTTTCGAGTAAGCGCTGATATGCCATACCTTTATAAGTGTAATCAAAGATTCTAGATTTTAAACAACATGACTAGTAACAGTTCACACTATACACGACAAATTTTCAATAACGTTGCATCTGCTAATGTACTCAAGTGTATTTTGTGTCTTTTTGTAAACAACTGAATTAAAACTTTATTGGTTTCAACATTTTTAAAATTTTGTAGCCTGTTTTTACTAGTCCGACCGGTGTTCAAAATAACGTGATTCAAGTCAAAGAGTCTGACTTTGATGTACTTACTGCTCTATCTCATGATATGGCCAATTCTCGTGGTGGTAATGAAGACCGATCCTCAACCTCCCAAGCTATTCCATTTCAAATCAATGATGGAAAATCTGATGTGCCAGGGGCATCAGAAGCAGAAATTCCTCATGTACCAAGTTCTGGGTCTGGTTCACCACCTGGCGAATACAGCCGCTTTATTCCTGCCACACCGTTGGAAGCTTTATCTCCGCAAACTGGAAGTGGAGGATCATTACCTTCACCAGCAGTTCATAATAATTCAAGTGATCCTAAGAAAGCATTAACACCTCCGTTATTACCTCCACAATTACTTCAGGTTACATTTTTTCGTCATTTTTTAAAAGTGAATTAATGTATTGGTCAATTTAAACTACGCAGCACCGTGATACATAACCAAAATTTATCTAGTGGTACATTGATATCGCGTAGTTTAAAATTAATTAGTCCACTGCCACTGAAAAATACAAGTTTACCCAACCCAGTTTCAACATTTATACTGTTAGTTATAAGTCGTTGAACAAAAACGATTTATCTTTTGTTAAATGATACACCTGTAACCTGTTAGTCAACTATGTATATGATCATTTCTGAAAGAATCAAGGCAATCGATCATAAAAACTACTACTCGTTTATATGAATAGTTATTTCTATGCAAGTGTAACCATCAGCATAGAATATATCCCAATTTTTTCAGAATTACTTTATCATAAAAAAGCTAAACGAAGTGATTCCCGAAGTACATATATATGTAGTTAAGTAAGTAGGTTCTATCGATCTCAACTCAATAGCCTAACGGTAAAGTGCTCAGAGATATATATGTAGGTCATGGATACACTTTTTTTGTGAAGTGAGAGCAGTTTTGCTCTATGCTTGTGAAACCTGGCCTCTCCGAGTTGAGGACGTTAGACGACTCTCTGTGTTCGATCATCGCTGTCTCCGAAGGATTGCTGACATTCAGTGGCAACACCATGTCAGTAATGCAGAGGTTCGGCATCGTGTGTTCGGGCACAGAGATGATAATTCAATTGGTATCGCCATCTTGAAACACCGACTTCGGTGGCTTGGACATGTTCTACGAATGTCATCCCAGAGAATTCCACGTCGTGCATTATTTGCCGACTCTGGGACTGGTTGGAAAAAGCGGAGAGGTGGTCAGTGTATGACACGATGTCGTGGGATGAAAGAAAGCTGCAAAGGACTGGCTTGAGTTGGTCCTTCACGACTCCCTGGTTGGGGTCTGAGAGATCGTGCTACACAGTGGCTAGAGACGTTATCAGATATGGCCCAGAATAGAAGCCAGTGGCGATCCTGCTGTAACCTTCTTTTACTTTCTTCATAAAAAGTGGTTGTGTCTCCCTTACCTGAAAGATTTCTTCTGATTGTACCTTTCCGTTCCCTCGTTACTACCACACTACCTTACACCAATCTCTTCGTTATCGTTCTCTTTTTCTTTTGTGCTCCTTAATTTTTTTTCTTTCTATCTCTCTTCGAGTTTTCATTGTTTTATGTGGCGCATATATATTGGCGCTCCCCTGTACCAATATTTATGTGTTCAAATATATAAATAAATAAATTTTTTGTGAAGTTCCATAGCAAAATGAAGCGGCTGACTATTGGTTCTTGGCTTTTCATAGTTCTCCAATTTACATCAGTATATGGCGAAAACTTTGTTCGCATTTTCACATCTTGACTGATGGAATAGTTTGGTACATAGTATAATATACTCATAAGATTTTGTCTCAGAAAATCACCACAAATCGAATTCTTGTTAAGTGGGTGTAGTTAAGTTTATGGATTATTATCAGAATGGGTTTTGTGGAGAGTTTAAGAAATTTCACCGGTTGAAATCATGAGTCAGTTGAAGCTAGACCACCATTGAAAACCTGGAAGCACTGGACGGCCGTTTCGTCCTGGTATGGGACTCCTCAGCAGTGCGCATCCACGATCCCGCACCACGCGGGGCTCGAACCCAGGACCCACTGGCTTCGCGCGCGAGCACTTAACCACTAGACCACTGAGCCGGCGTCCAACGGTGTTAATGTCTAACTTCAACCAATCCACGAAGTTGCGCCACCGTACACCATTGTCTTCAGTGAGTTGTTATCTCACAACAGACCGGTTGGATTATTTTGCAAAATGAACTAAGGTATCTACTGGCTCCAAACAATGGATAAGAAGCTGATATTTTGGATTCAAACTCCTGCCAGTCACAAGTTCGGGTAAAGAAGGAGGGTTGGGCATATAGGGTCAGTAACCCCATCCCGTAGAAAAAAGCCTTGCTAAGAAGCACATAAAATAAATAATTAAAATCTTTTGAACACTCCCTTGGAAGTTGAAGAGTTTTCATTCAGAAGAATTGTGACGCCTCATGATAACCAAAGCTATGCTATGTTTGGTGGCCTATGCTCCATTGGGAGTAGCAGGCGTAAGTAAGCTATGTACCTACCATTGATTGCAACGACGATAATAAAAATCAGTTTTACGAGAGACTGTGATCAATCATGACGGAGTGCTCAGGAAACGACATAACCATCCTGATGGAAGGCTAGATGCCGAAGTCGGAATGGACAACACCGGGAATCATGATACCATGGGACGCCATGGACTGACTAAGAGAAAGGAACCATACCACGTTGAAAACACCGGTCAAGCAACGTTGGGCTGAGTCAGTACTTTCATAGGTGGCTGAATGGGAATACAGGGTGTCTTCGGTTTTCATTTAGCCCTCAAATGCTCTGGGACGGTCAAGGACAAAGAGGGCAAGGCAATCACTAAGATTCAAAAACAGCGAAACAGATAGGTAGAGCACTTTGAAGAACTTTTGAATAAACCAACTCCACTGAACCCACAAGATGTCGAAGCAGTATACCCAGAAACTCTTATTAGTGCCACTTCACTAACGATCGAAGAAATCAGGATGGCAGTCAGACAAATTAAAAGTGGAACGACAGCAGAAGCTGACAATATACCAGCTGAAGTCGCGCATATAAGCAACTGCAAACATGCTCCACATCCTATTCGGGAAGATTTGGGAGGAAGGACAAGTGCTGACAGACTGGTAGGAAGGATACCTCATCAAGGAAAGGAGATCTGATCACGTGTGAGAACTACAGAGACATCACACTACTATCAATACCGGGAAAAGTTTTCAACAGTGTTGTTGAGCCGGATGAAAGATTCAGTAAACGCCCAACTTCGAGATTAACAGGCTGAATTCCGTAAGGATGGGTCGCGCACATGCCAAATCGTGACACTACTGGTTATTATTGAACAATCGATTGAATGAAGTTCGTCCTTACACATCAACTTCTTTGTTTATGAGAAAGCATCTGACAGTGTGGGTAGGATAACCTTATACAACATTTTCGACACTATGGCGTAGGATGGACATTTCGTCTTTGCCACAACTAAGACAAGTTGACAAACGCCGGCCGACTTTCTGAATTCGTGCCTAGATTTCACTGAATACCAATATACCATAATTGGTGAGAATTTCACGGCATTTTAAGTGTTTGACATATTCTACTACTTCACACCCCACCATTAGTTTAAACGTTGGTCCAGAACTGTCTTAAAGCAGGGTTTTGCATTTAGAGAGACTAGTACTCATCACAAACATGTTTGGATAGCTGCTAAAGGCGATCCAAAGACTATGACATAGAGGTGTTCGCCAAATAAAACCATATGATATTCATGTTCACTGTATATTCACTCTAACGGATAATTTAAAACTCCAGCTACTTCCATCCACATCTGAAAACGTTTTAACCAAGCCATACAAGTGATGACTAATTACATCTGAAATTAAATTTTGCACAAATTGATCCCAGCAAATTAGCAATCAAAATTCTTATATTGAATGCCTAATATGATCAACTAAAAATGTTATCGCATACGAAACCTGTAAAATAAAATCAGTCGATCTTAATTTTGATATTCACCATTCAGATTTATACCTTGTACTCTAGGAAAAAAAAGTAACTTATCTTACATCTAATTTTTTAGGTAATTCTTAATCGGGATACAAATGTTCAATGTGATCCAAATTTATTGCCACAACCAGATCATGTGATGGTCAATCATATGTATGCTTTGTCTATCAAGGTCAGTGTTATTTAAAACAACATATTTTCTGAGAAAATAACCAATTGTTTGTATCTTAATTTGTTTTTATAAAATAAATAATAATAAATACCATCCATACATATACACTGTTTAATATGTTGTTTCATGTATGTGTGTTATACACTATTAACTTTGTTTTGTTTTCCTGATATGTATCCTTTTCAGTTGGTCCTCTACTGTATACTCTCCTTTTATTCCTGGAATTATTCATTATTTTTAATCCACATCATATTTTAATCGGTTTCACTCTTATTTCTCTGTGTTACTCATAGTTTTATTTAAGTAACTAATTAATTAAAGTCATTTGTCAAATAGAATACATATTCATGTGCTCAACTTGGATGAAACTTTGAATTATTAGGGCTTTTTTAATTTTCATCTTATAAACATTACACTACTAACCATTGATGGTTTCATCAATAATTCTCTTTACCCCAAAAATTTAGTCTGATTTTTAATTACATTATTATTTCTCGTATCTCAATATCTATTTTAATTATCAATTAGGAAATCTACAAGATCTTACATTGCTTCATCCAATAATTCATTGAATTTGTTGATTGCTGTCATGTCTTAATCTGAATTATCTTCAATAGGATATTTTGTTTCTTTCAAGATTATTTACAATTCAATTATCGCGCTCGCTAAGTTGGTATATATGCAGATCTGTAGCAATTAAGGTGAATTTCTGAAACGTTAACATTGTGCCGAATTTCTTATTAGCTTACTAGATGATCTCATTATAGATATTTTTGATTACTCTTACGAAAAAGTATCAATTATCCTGTCATTTCAAATGAATTTCGAACCAATGGTTGGAGTGTGTAATAATACTGGGATTAATTGCAATTTGTATTGTGAAGTTGAACATACTCATGAATCACTGGAAATAATATTTTTATCAATGATAATTATCCAATAAGTTCCGGCTTAAAATTGATTAAAACATTCTACCAAACCAGTGGTAATAATTTACAGCTTTGAATCCCTCCCTTTACCTATTTCACTTTAGTTAACTGGGTGGTTATACTTGCCTTGACAGAAATGAGTACTCATTTAAATCAATGGGCTACCTTATTGCTATTCTTTATGTGAACACGGCCCACGGGTGAACTGAAGGACGCTCTAAGAAGCTCAGAAAAAACCAAAGACATTCCATCCGATGATCTTTTGGAAGAACATTCCCGAATCCCGATGTATAGCTTCCCTATTAGACAAAAGACAAAAACCACTGTTTACGGATTGAATGACTATAATGATGATTTCGATTTTACTAAAATCTATAAATACCTGAGAGTTTTGTGCCATATTTGGCACTGTTGGAATAACATTCCTCCTCACTTGTCTTCTGTCTTCTCATTTGCAACTTGGAGTGTTCTAGCATTCGAGTGCTCAAGTAGTACGCAGTGTATCAAGAATTTAAGCTCTAGATATAACAGTTTATGAGTAATTTTAAAATATGAACTAAACCTAGTCAAATAAGAACTTTCGTCTAAATTTAAACGAATAGTTTCACAATATTTGGGCACCGAGTTCATTTGAAACATTAAAAAGAAGAATATATTTGTAAAATCTCAGCGAATGAATTTTAAGTAAATCCAACGTTTCGCCTGGCAATCTGGTCCATTCATTCGCTGAGATTTTACAAATCTATTCTTCTTCTTAATGTCTAAACCTAGTCAACTTTAACGATGGATACCGTGAGAGTTCAGATCATTTGTAGTCAAATAATATTTGTTAACATTATTTAATAATTCAGAATATTATATATATATATCCGTTGTTTATATTCCTTTTTTCATTCATCTCAGGATGGTGTCATTGTTCTTTCAGCTATAACACGTTACCGGCAAAAATTTGTCTCTACTGTATTATACAAACCGATATAAAAGAAAAATAACATAACGATAAAAAAGATAGAGGAGAGTATCCAACTATTTTACAAATCGCTTTACTACTACTACGACCAGTACTACTAATATCATCTTCATTATTATTATTTGTAAATTCAATCTAATATCGAAATATTGTTGATATAAATCATTAACTTTCATTTATCATTATTTTATTACTATTATTATTATCATCATCACTATTATTCATTTTTGCCATAGAAAACAATAAAATGAAATTAAAAGTGGATGAAAGAGAGATAGTTAACAAGTAAGTGAGACAATGATAAGCAACTTATTGTTCAACATTTTTGTTAACATCATTTAAAGAATTGAGCTTTTTGTGCACATTATACCAATTTAGTGTTTGTCTTTGTTAATTCAATAATAATTACCAATATATATTTGTTTTCATTTGTTATTATTATTTTCATAAATAATTGTTACTACTATGGTTATTCTCTATTTTTCTTGTCGATATTTCATTATGAATCTATTGAATTGTTCGATTAATTAATTGATTAATGAACTTTTGTTTTAGAGAATGCTCTAATTTACTCATTCTCTCTTTTTCTTTTCATGTGAAAATAAATAAATCTTGTTAAGTGTTTATTAATATCTATTATTGTTACTATTGTTATTATTATTATTATTATTATTATTATTATTATTATTATTATTATTATTATTATTATTATTATTATTATTATTATTAATGACTCCCCGTTCACTACTTTTCTGTATGATACTGTATGCCTCATTATTATTATTATCATCAGTAGTCGTATAGATGTATGCATCATTTGAAAGGATGACAATCATAAATTCCATTGTTATTAGATAGATTGATTGATTCACATATCTTATAGTAACTTTTTGTCAATGAATCTCCTTTATTGTTTTTTATTATACTCTCATTCTAGTCTTATTCACATTTCATATTCTCAAATATACCTTATTATTGAACAATTATCGTGTAGTAAGTCAGTCTTTGAGTTCTTTACTTCGAAAAAATCTTAAATCACTATTTCTTTCTTACCAAGTGCCTGTATTTTCATAAATCTTGGTATTGAGCTTAGTTGTTTTTTTAGAAACATCAGTACACGTAAATGCAGTCTTCATTCTTACTGTTACTGAAAGTTTGTGTGTGTGTTTGTAGAATTGTCCATTTCTTCTGTACTGAGTGATGAAGAAAATAAAATACAACAACATTTCTGGAGAGAAAATATAAACAGCAACGAACCAAAATTTAAGGCTGACCAATGTTAACAATATTAAACTTGTTCAAATTTCCCTTATTTTCTTCCTCCATTTCTTAAATACATATGTGTGCAATGAAGCAAGTAGCAGTCTAATCATTCTGTTATAAACTACTTTACTAATTTCCCACCACTACGATTATTACCATTTACATATGTAAAAAAGAAATCTGTGATTTATATATAGTTGGAAATACTCGTATGCCTTCCACTTCACCAACAATAAGTCACATATATTTTTAAACCCACGATACATTATCAAACATTCCTAATTCCAAAATTAGAACAAATTAATGCAGAGAAACGTGTGGTTGCCTGTTATTTATGATATTGATTTATGACTGACGTATATTATGTAAACGAAATATAGGTTTACAGTGTACAACAGTTCGTCAATCTCATACAACTAAAATATCTGGCGATAGGAAATCGTTTAGTATATTTATAGTTAATTGACTTTTAATGGATTGTATGCTGATTGTCACTGAAATATACATGTCGGCTATCCTCGTGTATTTTATCGACGTAGTTCGCGTTAGTGAATAACGGAATTAAATAAGTCAAACACGAGAGTGAATTTCGAATACACGTATTTCATACAATTGTTGTTACAGACAAAGAACCAAAGAAGAGAGCGAAACGAAATGACGCGCGGTAGAGAAGGCATTTAAACCAACTCGATTTAATTAGGCGTTAATCGATATTTATAGTTAGACAAAAGTTACAGACAACTCTCACCCTTTCTTTTTCTCCTGGTGATCGAATGGATCATGAAGACGTCCACATCTGAAGGAAAACACGGGATACAATGGACATCTAGAATGCAGTTGGACGATCTAGACTTCGCAGATGATCTGGCCCTTCTATCCCAAACGCAACAACTAATACAGGAGAAGACGACCAGTGTAGCAGCAGTAAGTTTCAATATACACAAAGGGAAAAGCAAGATTCTCCGATACGACACAGCATGCACCAATCCAATCACAAAAGACGGAGATTTGGAAGATGTAAAAACCTTTACATATCTGGGCAGCATCATTGATGAACAGGGTGGATCTGATGCAGATGTGAAGGCGCGGATCGGCAAAGCAAGAGCAGCATATTTACAACTGAGGAACATCTGGAACTTAAAGCAACTGTCAACCAACACCAAGGTTAGGATTTTCAATACAAATGTCAAGACAATTCTACTGTATGATGCGGAAACCTGGAGAACTACGAAAGCCATCATCCAGAAGATACAGGTGTTTATTAACATTTGTCTACGCAAAATACTTCGGATCCATTGGCCGGACACTATTAGCGACAATCTACTGTGGGAGAAAACAAACTAGATCCCAGCGGAGGAAGAAATCAAGAAGAAGCGCTGGAAGTGGATAGGAGGACACACATTGAGCAAAGCACCCAACTGCACCACAAGACAAGCTCTCACATGGAATCCTCAAGGCCAAAGGAGGAGAGGAAGACCAAAGAACACATTACGCCGGGAAATGGAAATAGACATGAGAAAAATGAATAAGAATTGGATGGAACTAGGAAAGAAAACCCAGGACAGAGTGGGTTGGAGAGTGCTGGTCGGCTGCCTATGCTCCATTAGGATTAACAGGCGTAAGTAAGTTAGTAAAAGTTACAAACAAATGATGAGTAAGATAAGAAATGCATACACGTACGCTTACGTAAAAACAGTCAAGGTCGATAAACGAATGTGTCAGGATAAAAATGTGACTTGAGAAGAATGAATAGATTGATCTTTCCAGAGGATGGAATAACCTACAGACTTATTTATTTCTGATGGAAATAACATTCATATAACGTTAAAGAGAATACTACAACTAATCAAAAAAATGAAAGAAGTTGTTGGGAGAAACAATGAGTTAGAATTATTGTTTGGTAAATTATTTGTAACTGACTCAAATGTTGATTATGATAGCCAAAATAGGGAGAACAGTATTGCAAACTTATCATAGACACAAATGTTAGGTTTAATGAAATGCATAGGCAGATGTTTTTCATAGGAACATGAAAAGATTGGTATTTTATCCTGATATAGCTGAGAATCATTAATCTCAATCAGTAGGAAATATTAATCACATTAAAAATTTCCAGATACTCGGTAAATGCCTCACTCCTTTTTTAGACAGATTGCGTAAAGAATGTTTCGGAATTGAGTCAGTTGAGAATGAAATCATTTAGACTAGTTGTAACATCTTCCCCTCGTAACACCTAGTAAATAATGCTTCCAGGTTTGGTCCGTAAAAGAGATAACTCCATAAATAATGCTTGTTTCCCTCTCAAATTCCAATCACTCATAACATGATACTACTAATTATTGACATTATTTTATCATTTGCAATAAAAGTCTAGATAAAAGACATTCTGGAAGTATACGGGATATAGAAGAAAGGGCCGGCTTCCATTCTGTTACAGAAAATTAGGTTCAATCTGGTTCTACTATTTATTCAAATAATTGATTAGCGTATTATTGTTTACACAAAAGATGAGTACGATTATTTTACTTACCTAAATTTCATACAACTCAGATACTTTATTGCAGAATTCATGCTAATGATAATTAAACATTCACCAGCAAACTACGCGGACTTGAAGAATTCACAAATCAAACTTTATGGTCAGTTAACCGAACAAATTAATTAATTTTTGAACCCAGTCACTTGTTTAGGTGAAACATCTCCGTACTGCTTTTCTATTAAGAAGATATACTTGTCAAATACCTGCTTTATAAGTAGAACTCTGAAGTCTGGGAAAGATAGCATTATTTATATCGATATGAATCAAGACCCCATTAAAAACGCCGTAGTTCTCATTCAATTGAATTTCAATCTGACAAATACATCATCCATCTGATAATGAATTATATCAATATCAACCTAGTACAACTTATTAAATATTGATTTTTGTTAGTGTGGACTACAAGCACATCTGTCTTTTATAAGCATATTTTCATGTTTATACAAATCAAGTTCAAGGTTATAGGTATTGGCGCATTGTTTATTTAAATACTTTATAGATCTCTTTTGACCAATACATGAACTATTTGCTGATTAATTATTAATGCATTGTGTTTGTCAGCTAAGTTATTTGGAATTTGTGCTGCATGACATATATGTCTCTAATGAACGGAAAACGACACTGCCATTAAATCACTGACTTCAAAGCCAATTTTCAACCTTACTAACTTCACTTATGAATACAATGTAGCACGACAACAATTCAATACCGATGATGAAATCTGTTTCAGCGCCAACACGCTTCTATCCCACCAGTCATTTTATGTATCTCAAGGATATTAAATTTTACCATAAAAAAATTGTTCTTTATTAAATTTAATTTCTGTCGGTAGAATAAAACTATCCTCAAAGTTCTATATTCTCCATTAACGTGTGTTATTGCGTGACATACATCCAGTTGGATGGAATTTTAAAAAAATTCTCAACCGTCGTTAAAGAAAATTTACCGTGGGTCAACCGATAACCCCTATACCTTAGTCGTTATTGTCGAAGTTTAACAATAGTTAACTCTTGTAACTTGCTACAAGATGAATTAGTGTATACACATTGATGAGATGGTGCACACTATTAGATGTAATACTTCAGAAAGTTCTAACAAAGATCTTTTGTTCTAGAAACAGAACACCAAGGTTTTAAGCTAATAGGAATAGCTTTGTTCGGACAAAATTAACTCAATGAATACCACCATGCATTAATGAACTCCATTACATTATGATGATTTACTAAATTCCTATCTCAGTAGCTGAGATCATGAGTCAATTTAAACTAAACCACCATGAAAAACCTGGGACTCCTCAGATGTGTGCATCTACGACCCCGCCCCACGGGATTTGAACCCAGGATCTATCAGTCTTAACCGGCGCATAACCACTAGACTACTGAGCCGATCAGCATCCAACGGTTTTAATGTCTAACTTCAACTAATCCACGAAATTAAGCGACACATCCACCATTGTCATCAGTGAGTTACTATCTCACAACTGACCTGGCTGAATTCCACTTGTCACTACTTTTCACTAGAACTCTAAGATATACCTCTTAAAGCCAATCACTAGTGAGTATATGTTGATTAGTATGAGCTATTGAAATTACTACAATCTCCATGAAACCCTTTTTGATTCTAAATTTCTATTATTTATTTGGTTTTATTGTTTTTCTTCGAAGTAACATATATATATAAGGAGAGAGAGAGAGAGTGCATATATAATCGTCATCAATATAGAAAAAATAATCTAGTTAATACATTAATGTGTTATATTATTTGAACTTTTTCAATATTTTTCTAATAAATTTTATTGTAACGCCCAAAAATCAATTAATTTATAAATAAATAATTAATTCATAACTGTACAATAAAGTAGTAACATTCATTTTAAAAAAAAATATTTTTGTTGTTGATTAAAATCTTTTTTTTTTTTGTTGTTGAAATTATAGAGAAAAAAAAAGGAGATAAAATGTACTTTTAATAAATTTATCCAAGTGTTTATCAATAAACAACTTAATAAGGAAATTTAAATTAAACATTTTTAAATATATTTGTCAAACATTTAAATAGAAATAAACATTCTTCATAATACATAGTAGTATTGTAGTGTAGGTGAATACAGGTCAGGGTAACCGAGTTATTGATTGAGATCTTGAACCAATTGATGTTAGACCATCACAATTGAAAACCTGGAAGCACTGGACGACCGTTTCGTCCTATTGTGGGACTCCTCAGCAGTGCGCATCCACGATCCCGCGAGCGGGATTCGAACCCAGGGCATTCGGTCTCGCGCGCGAACGCTTAACCAACTGGACCACTGAACCCGCATCCAATGGTGATAGTTTCTAACATCAACCAATCCACGAAATTGCAGGTTTTCAATTGTGATGGTCTAACATCAACTGGTTCAAGATCTCAATCAAAAACTTAATAATCTCCACAACCCCTATACTAGTAACCGAGTTACTTGGTAAAATAGAAAAACCATACTATAATACTTAATTTTCAGAATGTTCAATAATTCTCTCGAACTTCATTGTTCTTGCATTTCCATACTATTTGCTTTTTATTCTCGCTCTTTCTTTTTTGATCTTCCCCATCTTCTGATGCTAGACATTACATTCCTGACTCCCGCCATATACTACTTATATTAATATAAGTAGCACGCACCACAGTACTACTCGTAATAATAATAATAACTTTAATTCGTTTGATATCTTATAAGAAAATATCTTGAAACTTTTTACTGTATAAGTTGAGAGGTTAAATAAAGTCTATATGATAGAAAGTGTTTCAATATATAATACATGACTATTCAACGAGTTTCATTAATAAATAACTACCCACATTAACATCAAAACAAGATTGTTGTTTCAGAAAAAGGTATTTTACATTAACCATATAGAGACTAATATGACTGTCTAAGGTCAATATTATCACACCATCATAAATCAATATAGAAACTGGAAGATTACCATAGTTAAACTAATCTTTATTTTAAAGAAATCTCTTTAATTACGATGTTCTCTATTAATATCTGTTAAAATGACAGTAAGCCGTTATAATCTGAGTTTATTGTTGCTTTCAGATTGGTAAATAGAATCATAACTTTGCTTATAGAAAGCTTATCAAGGATCAGAACGTGAACAAAACATAGAAAAGTCCTAATAAACCGGCAAACTAACAATTCAGAGATACCGATTTGTATACCATTTATGAATTTAAAAAAGAGCAGTTGATTAAAATGAGTTTATAACTTTGATGTACACTCAGAAAGAAAATACATACCGCCGTCGATAAATAATTATTTATCAGTACAAAGACAGGTAAGATAATGAATAAATAAATTGTAACGAGGTTACTAGTCTAAGTGGCTCAATATTCCATGTACACTATTGAGATATCATGCTGTTGAAGGTAGTCGCAGAAGATCGTAGGCAAAGGTTTTGTGGTAGTTCTCACTCATTAACATGGAGTACCTGCAATCCTGAAGGGATCGATGCCTCCTATGGGTTTCAAACCACACTCTATGTCAAGTCGCCTTAAATAGTGACTGAAATGCATCTGAATCTATGGAATTTAGTTAGCAATAAAGAACTAGACGAACATGACATTTATCACTACTGAGTGATGCTGTAATTTTAAACGATTCACTCTCTTTCATTTCCTTGTGTTTATAGTTAAACTTAAATGACTTTAAGCCAAGTGACAGATTAAATTGAGATTTGGTTAATACTAGGACCTCAGAATTCAGTCTATAAACCACCAGGATGACTAATTTGAAGTTCATTGGTTTGTACCCTACTTCAGTATAAGATTTCTCTTAACTTGAATCATTTCTTCAACTGGTCCCATATTAGTAACCATTACCATGTTATTTAATCCTTAGTGTTAATCAAGTTGTATCGACCAAGTTCGGACATATATCTTACCGACGTAAAACCACTAGCATGAGACTTAGAACATGAGTTTTCTGCCAACTCTCTTCAAGTAATTAACTCTAATAATCACCACTCCCATTTTTAAAAAAAGAACTAACTAAAGATATGGATTAATTAATAACTTATCAATAATTATTAACCAAAATGGAGATTATTATCGATCAAATTCGATCTAACATTTAACAATAAATACACTTGTACACATAAATGCGAATGATATTTAATCAAAAACAGAAATAAATTACGTTCTTAGATTATTAGTCTCTATAACGAACTCTTCACAGTACCCGATTTTTTTTTAGTAAAACAGTAATTTTCCATAAAAAGTATCATGCTTTGTTGATGCCAAATGATAAATTAATTGACAGAATGTGGAACTGTAGATTATTGTAGATTTAAAAATTGCCCAGTTAGATGATCATACCTAGTTTATGACAAGTGATGATAATCAGAAAATAACAAATCATCTAGATCAGGTAGTTTATTGATTCAATTAGTTAAAAAAAAAGTAGTAATCAGACCACCCACTGATTTTCAATCTTCGTATCCTTCTATCTTGAATACTAATAAAAGGATTTTTATTTATTGCATTGAAATACATTTTCTGTGGCTTTCTTTAATTCTTGTATAATGAACACACAGAAAATAAGCCAAAATGTTCGAACTGATATTCATTGAATACTTAACTGAAGTATGAAAAACCATAATTTCAACAATGAATTGAATGGAATAATGATACATTATCTATACAGATATTTCTTGATCTGAAATCAATATCTCGGTTTATTCTGTTGCTATAGCTCGTATTGATTGTGTTTACTGAACGAAATACTTTAAAGTCGAGGTACATTTTTGTAAGTGCTGTAGTGAAATGATGATTTTCTCCTCAAAATGCTTTGTGAACTACTACATGATTTAACTCACTGAAAATGATAATTTCTCAATTTTTGATGAAATTCATTAGAGACTTATAAATGACATATTCCTTAGCAAGATGTGATATTTTTGAATACACTGAAGAAAATATAAAAAGTATTCGACAAGAATGGCAATATAATTATATATTTATGATACCCCGATTAGTGGGAATTTCAGTTTTTGACATTTTGTAAATTAGTTTAAGTTGATTCTTCCGAGATTAAATTTATCCAAAGAAACACGCTTAATTCTATTCATTTCTCACACGATCACTACGCACAAACTAACGTTTAACCTCTACTTCATATGAAAAATTTCACATTTTTTCTGCTCACTTTTAAGGATACTAGATCCTCGGAAATTACTTAGTAAACTTTTTATTTTTGTAATCGTATTATGGAAATTTAAACACCTCATTTTCGCGCCAAAAGCCCCATTTTTAACCCCCCTCAGTTTGTGCTTCCAAACTAAAGGGACCTTATGCATCATTGGTTTGTTTCCTCCTTTAGTACGTTAGTTTGTGAAGTTTTTTAACGGACACTTTTTTTGTAGTATATATACACATGAGTTTTGTGCTTGTTCGTTTATTCTTGCAGACTGATTGTGGAATATATATATTCCGGCTGCATCTGGATTTCCCCCTTTAGTTAGTAGCGTTGGGGCGCATTGCAATAGCTTACCTTGTCTTGTTGTTGTGTTGCTGACTTTTGTTTCATCTGTCGGTCCTAGGTGATATCTTAATCCCCGAACATAGCACCCACCTGCATACACACAAATGCACACAGTAATGGACAGTCTCCTTGACCAAATAATTGACATGAGATTGACATACGCAAACTTATTTTGGTTTGAACTGAGCTAAATAATATGCTTTGTTTCTCTTTACTTCTTAAAATTTACTTTAATTAGGTTATCTATTTACTTACTCTCTGAAGAATTAACACAAAGTAAGTTAAAAGATATTAGAAATTGCAATTTCTGCTCATTGGGGCATATCATTGTCTTATTATTAACATTCTATCCAATTCTCAATTTATTTGAAATTATCAATCCAAAACATGATATTGATATACATGACAAGACTTCACTCATCTGAAGTGACAGCTACACCACAATAAGGAGTAAAGAAGTTACATGTGCATTGTTTCACCCATCATCTGAGAACCTCAGTCAGTTTGATTTTTATCAGAATACTGTACCTATGAAGGTCACAAATTATCTAAAGTGTGTCACATATTAATACATTTAATTTTAATCCATGTTTTAAATCTATCTAGTGTGCAACGAATCTTGTTAATGAATATTGTAGAAATTGAAACTAACTTATTAAATCAATGTGGTGGATAAGATTGGTTGGATCCGTTTTCAATTTCTAGCATTTCCCTATAACTTTAGTTTTTCTTTAATTTCAAACATTGTTTGTATATACATGAATCAGTTTACTCAATCAAAATCTATCATATTGTCCAACTATATAAAACAATTATAAAACCTAAAACAAATTTAATTTATGCTCAATCTAGTGAACGTTTTACAGAAAGCTAACAGAAACAAACAGGATGAATTTCATCGACTTCCATTACAAGAAATATAAGACAATTTATTATTAATACATGCCATTGATTCATCACTTACATTGAAGATTATCTGGTTCGGGGAAATATAAATTCCATCTTATTAATACTATGAGTTTAAAAGATAACGACTTATTATATACAGTTTGTGTATCATATCTAAGGAGATTATAATTTATGAATGAACTAATCAGATATGAGATAATAGATCTCGGATTTTGATGCAAAATTCATTCATCCATCTGACCAAATAGCGTTTTGACATTATAGCTATTATCAATTCATAATGAAAATCATAAATATAATTGGTAACTGTAACAATCAACTGTAAATCCTAATGGTAATTCCTCACATTGATTTATAACTCTCATTTCGTTCTAGTTACTAGGTAGACATTCTTAAAATTACTTTGATATCTCATAAAGGTTTTGTCTATATATTATTATAGTCTCATTATTTAAATCAATCACAGACATATAGTTTTATAAATCTTATATGATTAATTGAAAATACCATTTTTTTTACATAATTAAACATTTAAATATGTAATTTTAACACTGATAATATGTAAATTAAATAAATGAGAAATTTCAATGTCACATTAGTTTTTCTTTTTTTTTTTTACTTATGTTGATTAACAATTCAATGTGATAATAATAAAATACACACTCAAAATAGGAAGAAAAAAAACATCCGTAAATATGTAAAAAAAAAACATTTTTTTTTTCGTAAAAAAAAAGGATCAAATCATAAAGAGTAATGAAGTCAACTTTAATATAAATAAGATCAAAAGATTAATAATAATAATAATAATCTGCAGTATTATGTCAGCAGAATATTTAAACTTTTAAATGACGATCGATCATGAAATAGACAAATGAAGGGAAGGAGCGAGAAAGAGAGAGAGAGAGTGTGTGTGTGAGTGAATGAAGAATGTAAACAACATTTTATTTTTTATATTTTTATTTCAATAGTACAAATGATCGAATCTTTGTTATTGTTATTGTTGTTATTTTAAAAAAAATAGTTATAACTGCCGTTTAGTTATTTTCTTTTTCTTCAAAAATGTACATTTTTCAAAAGAGAAAAATAATAAAAGATGAATATGAGAGGGGAGTGCAAAAATACTATTCGATCTGATTTCTCCTTTTTTTTTTAAATATTTTCTGTTGTTTTTTTTTAAATTTTTTTATTTCTTGATTCATTCTGTGTTGAGTTTTTCTCACTTAGTAATAAATTGAAAATATGACAAAAAAAAAAGTAAATGATAAACGACTAGAAATCACGATCTATTTTTTCACGTATAATTAATTCCCATTCTTGCCATGCATTTTTTAATTCTTTACTTAAACTATCAAATCTTTCATCCCAATTTACTGTACAACCTAATTCTATTGCAATATCATATAAAGCACGTTCAGCAAAATAAGCTAATGGTCTATTATTCATAGCATTCTCTTGTATTTGTCTAACTAATTGTGAATAAGATCTTGAACAACGTTCAGCATCTAATATACGAAAATCACCTTGACTATGATGTGATTGATGTGGATGATAATTATTATGTGTTAAACGATTATTTGATTGTATTTTAGATAATCCATCTAATGATGATATTCTACTTTGATTATCATCTAAATTAATATAACTTAAACTATTACTTAAATGATAATTATATATAGAATGATTCATATTATTAATATGATTATTATTTTGTTCATTTAATGCTGATCTTATTAATTTACAACTATTTAATGATTGAACTAAATTAAATAAATTATCAATGGAATTTTTAAATACATAAAATTCATTCCATATAAAATAATCAATATCAGATGAATTTAAATTAAATTGATTTTTCCATTCACATATATTATTGATCCAACATAACATATAATTCATTAAATTTATTGACCAATTTTGTCCATTTAATTGATCTAATTGTAATTCAAATAAACGTATTTGAAAATCCATTGATTGACATTTTATTATATCTTCATTTGTATAATTTAATTGAGTTAAAATTATTTTATGCGCTTTCCATAATAATAAATCACATAAATAAGCTAAATGTAATTTTTTTTCTAATAAACAAGATAATTGTACTAATTTTCTTTCATTATTATTATTATTATTTAATTGTTTTGATGATTGACATATTACTTTTAAATTATTTGATGTAATTGTAGTAGTATTTAAATCATTATTTAATAAATTTTGATGTATTATTTGTAATTTATTCCATGCTATTTCACCTTGTGGTGTTTCATTAATTGAATAATATAATTTTAATTGTTCATCACGATGGGAATATAATAATTCAGTTGTTTCTCTTAATTGTTGATGTACATTTAACCATGTAGATCGTGTAACAGACATTTTACTAATTGAATTAATTAATTCTGTTGCCCATTTATATGTTGAACTACCACGTTCAATATATTCTGATATTAACCATGATAATTGTCCAGTTAAACTTAATAAATTAAATGGTAATGTTGGTGTATATTTTGTATCAGTATTATATAATCCATTTGTTGATAACATAGATGATGATGATGATGATGATGATATTTTATGACTTTGTTGACAAAGACCACTTGCTACTGTAGCATGTGAACGTAATAAATCATTACGATTATGTCCAAGTGGATTCAAAGGTGGTGGAACATTATATGATGCTTTTTTACTTTCTAGATTTGATGATTTTTTACGACTGATTAAACGTAAATTTTGTTTTAATCGTGTACCTTCTGTTTTACGTATTTGTTTTGATAAATTTAAAACAAATTCAGGCGTTGGACCATCATTATCACTATCACTTGTAGAATAATCAGTACTTAGTTGATTACTACTCATTTCCCAACGAATTTGTGTCTCCTCATTTTTTTTACTATTTTCACATTTATTTTCAATATTACTTTCTCGTACATCACCGTTACTATCGATATCGTTTTCTACATCATCACCATCATCATCTTCATCGTCATTATCATCATCGTCATCATCTTCAGGATAATGAATACTGAATTTAACACCACTTTCATTTTTACCAACTTTTTTCTTCTTTGAACGTAATAAAATCAGGGGATCTTTTAAAAATGTCAACATTGTATCATCTGCTTCATTAATTAATAAATTTTGTTTGCGTCGCATACGTTTTAAACTATTCACTAGAAAATTAATAGCAGTTTTATCTGAGGCTAAAATAGCTGTAGTGCATAAATTGATCAATGTTGTTACACGTGCATTAGTTGTATCAATACGACGTAGTAAACGATCAAAATTTATTGCATTTTTACTTAATGTACATGGTTCACATATTGTTTGTACATAACATTCAATTTCATTATCTCTGCCCTCTAAACTTAAACCCATTTCTTCTGGTGAGTTCATTAATTTATGTGCAAATTCTAGTTCACTTTCCATTTGTTGATTATTTAAATCAATTTGTATATCGGAATGAGATTTATTTAACATTTCATTTATATGTGATTTTGATGATTCTTCAACTGTTCAAAAAAAAGAAAGAAAAAAAGAAGAATAAACATAGAAGATCATCCCTTATCATATTATAAATATATATATTTATACATATACTTGCGCCTGTTACCACTAGAGAAGGAGCATAGGTCACCCATCAAGATACTCAAACCAACATTGTTCTGGGCAATCCTTTTCATGTCTGCTTTCAATTTTCAACGCAATGTGTTCTTTGGTCTTTCTCTTTTCCGTTTATCTTCAGAATTCTAAGTTATCGCTTGCTTCGTGGTGCTGTTTGATTTCCTCAAAATGTGTTCTATCCACTTTCAAGGTCTTTCCCTAATTTCCCCCTCAGCTGGAAGCTGGTTTGTACTCTCCCATACCAGGCTGTTGCTGATGATATCCGGCCAACGAAATATATATATATATATATATATATATATATATCACTTATTGGTACACTAAATACTCTGCTCTGTATCTAAGACATTCAAACTCATCTTAGTTAGCTACGTCGCATATAGTGTATGATGATAATTCCGATAAACTTTGATAAGCATATCGCAATGAACTATATTTTTTAACAGTAATGCATTTTATGTCCCCATGATATACTTTAAACATAATCTCATTTATTAAACTATTCTATATTGAAGGTGTACATTTTAAGTAAATGTATAATTGAAAAAATATAACCAATATATGAACTACTCAAGTGTGATCAATATCAAATTGTTTATTTTTGATTATCAACCTTTAATAAATGACCTTTTTAATGTAAGAATGAAGTATACATTCAGTCATAGATGCAAAGGTTCACCAATTTTAACTTATAAAATTGTCTAATTCACTAGTACATACCTTAATTTGACTTGAATGAAATAACTATAGAGTCTAATGACAAAGTGATTGATAACAATTGTTCGCTCAAATGTTCTTTTGTTTTTAAATTACTTTATAGGGATTATTAAACCGTAAGAATCTATTTATCATGCACTGTAATTGTCACTATAGTTTTTAAATAATCTGACGTCACAGATCAATTTGATTTTTGTTTAAAAGTACCAAATATCTGTATGACAGTGATTACTGATTGATTCATCGAATAATCTAGCCATATGGAACATCATTCAACATGTGAATGCCAGAGTACTAATATTTGTAACCGTGGAGTCGATCAACTTAAGTTTGACTATCCAAAAATAGAACAGTTCCTTTTAGGTCTCAAAAAGCTGGAGTCGTAAGTCGAGAATTTTCTGACCTATCCCTACTACTTATTTAATAATATGTTCAGTGATCGTACCAACATGTACATGACATTTTAATAGACCGAATATTTCTTTTCAGGAATGTAAAGCCCCATCATTCATTAATATAATAAACGGCAGTATTATTTTTATAAGCGGGTACTCATTCAATACACCTTGGTAAAAATAATCAAATAACACAGATAAGGATGATGATGATAATAATGATTAACCATTGTATATGTATACATATGAGATAGTCGCTTACATTTACCAATCAGCTTCCGAAAAGAGAACTTTTTCTTCTCTTTCATTTTCTAAATAAATAATAACAAAATATAGAAAATAATCGGTTAAGCGCAAAAATGAAGGCAAAGTAACGACTGTTTACTAACACTAAAATAATTATACATAGTTTATTTTCATTCAAAATATTATGTAAATATAAAATATTGTAACCGTTTAGTATTTATGGTTTGATCAAACAATCAGTCTTAAGCAACATAAAGCCTTGTAGTTATGTTCACTGATTCAAGTTACCACACTACATCAGCACAGTGATATGTCTGAGTAGTATAAGTAGCAACAGCACCAGTGTTAGTAGAAAAAATCAAACATAAAAGACGTGATTCGAGAAAAACATATGAAGTTATGAAATTGTTTAATTTCAAATATAAAATTACGTTTGATGTTAGGGAAATTTTCAAATGCTTATTAGTAATCTATGTGATAATGAATATGAATAGCACAATAAATTACATGTGTTTCATGAATCTGTCTTTGAATGAGGAAACATCTAGCTTGGTGAGCGTACAAGAAACAGAAACTGATAACTTAATAATAACTGTCATCGAATCTTTTATGTAAATCACAATATAAATACCAATTAAAATTCATTAGCTTGATAGACAGAAATCACTTCTCATATTGCAGACTATCAATGCTAAGAACAGAAAACTTAATCAATGTATAAACACAAATCCATGAATACAATGAATCATATATGTCGTGCAGTGAAGATGGCATTATTTAGACACTGAGTTAGAGTCGTCTAATCGATTTGCAACATGACACAACCACCATATAATGATATCAATGAGTAACAGCCTCGTTCCCAATATAATTGACTTCACAGATCATAGTTTCCCATCAACGATTTTGGGAAATAATTTCAGAGCTCTAGTTATTGATGTGTAAGTGATAATTATATCATTATGAGAACTATTTATACTTGATAGTCGAGTTGCACAATCTTCTTGACATCCGAATTTATTTAAGCTTGATGTCAAAAAACATTAGCTAAATTGAATACACTACGTAGACCTTTTGCCCGTCTTATATACTCAACTTGGAACCATATTGTTCATCTAGACCAGTTATAATACCATACAATCCTAAGCGCAGGAAGAAGTGAAAGGTCCTCTGAACATTCTGATATTCTTCCAAGCATTTATGGTTCAGTCCTATTTGTTTTGATTTTGTATTCGTATACCCTTCTACTTAATACATGATTCTTTTCTTTTAGCACCAGATAAGCAGACAAATGGAAATAAGCTTTCTTTCAAAATTACAATTCCATCCATCAGTCATGATTTTAGTATTTAATAAATCTTTTTGACAAAATCTAGCAAAGTTATACAACTCACTAAGTTTGTAAGATACTTCAAACAGAATTTATGGTATGACAGTAATTTAAAGTAGAGAAATGAATTATCGATCGAGACAAATACTACGTTAACCTTATCTAGTTCATTTTGATTACTTACCAACAGAAACAGATTGTGACTACTATTTACATTACGTTATAGGTTTTGATAAGGTTTCTTTTTTTATTTTCTAAATCTATTTAGGTCGTTGTTATATCATTGAACATTTATCGGATGTGAGTTGTATTGATTTGTTAAATATCGAATTTGTTTATCTTTTTTCTTTGAATAGTTTCTACATTGTTAAATTATTCAAGTATAATAACAAATGAATAAACTACAATTTGGACATGATCATTCTATTAGTTTCAAGTATCTTAGCTACATACTGGCTAACTAGAATATTTTATTTTCACATATCAGTGCATTCATTTTCATGATTGCAATAGTTATTTCGATATGAGTACATTGAATTCAATAATGTTTGTTGTGTGTTATTTTGAAAACAAAATAGTACTTCCGAAAATATAACAGAAAGTTGTAATATTTAGAGTACAATACCTTTATATCCAAAAAAAATGTTTCCTTTAGATGCCTGGATCGATTTTTCTAAAATCCAGTTCATCAGATGTATTGTTAATGGTTAGCTAGTCACCCAGACATGAGTTTATGAATATAAAAATTCATTTATTCAAAATGATTTTAATTTTTGTTTCATGGTTTTGATACAGTAAATAAATATGTGAACTGACGTGACCGGTATCTATTTGACTCTTAAACTTTAATTCTTGTATATAGAAAATGTATAATCATATCCCGTATCAATGAGAAAAAAAATTATTATACAATTCACTTTATATTCAATTGTATTAACCTGTTTTAGTTCATTCATCAAAGTGTATTACAGAAATAATACAGTAGATTTTCTATCCTAGAAATTTTCGACTAGATTGCAATGAATCGGTTATAATTAAATTACGTGAATACTATAGAATGTTCATAATTTAAATCATGAACTGACCTTCGCCAGACAACTATTGAAAATATAAAAACATTAGATGGCTGTTTAGTTCTAGGATGGAACTCATCCTGATGATCAATTTGTGATTTAAATTACGAAAATCATATTCAATTTATTAATATAGTATCAGTGAATTTTATATCGGAAAAAAACTTACAGTTTATCAGTTTTGTTCAAATATTTCAATATTACAATAACTAGGAAATGTTTGTGAGTCTGGTTTTACTTAAGATAAATATAGCTGAGTCAATAGTTATTATTCCGTTTGATCAACCAATAAATCACAATCAAAATGAAAATTGTTTGTATCTAGTATGTATAATTGTGAACATTGCAGTTATATGCACTCCTATTATTTTGATTTATTTCCATCAATGTTGTCGTCAGTGGTGAGACTATAATTTATGATTCTTTAACTAAGGTCATTTGATGATATAAATTACAAAGGTATTTCACTGAAGATTTCAAGTGTATACTACTTTTTACAGTTTGCGTCACAGAATAACTAACCCGTCAATGGTTAGAAACCAGAATCAGCAATGGACAGCGATTTGGTATTGATACAGAACTGTATAGCAGTGCTGAACCATGAATCCATCAGGGGACGAATCAAAGACCCTCAGGTCTCGTAGCCAGTCATAAACCATCAACCCTCTGGGTTAATATCCTACAGTATGAATTTTTAACTTCACTCAGTAATTTAGCATGATGATTGTTGAATGTCATTTCAAACAACTCTTTCACTACTCATATATCTGAATCGTACTTATTCGAACTTCCTATCGGAACCCTAGGAACTTAATCAATAATTTGTCAATACTAAGTTGGAATATATAATTAAAACCAATACTCCTACTGTTTAAGAGTCTTAATAATAACACTTTTTTCTAAGATACTGAAAAACGTAGACATGAATTTCCCTTAAAAAATGTGTAGAAACAAGTTTCTATAATCTACTTTTAACTGAACCATATAAATATATGTTGACAGACAAAAGAAAACCTTAATCTAATAGAAATTCTTCATAATGACTTAAATATACGACAGAGAAAATAATATGATCTATGTTGAAATTGTTGATATTCATTAAGGTTTAAGTATTATAACAAGAAATATTTAAATACTATGACTTAACTAGTTCATCAACTAAAATTGGATTGTCAAAATTAAACAACTGTAAAGCCATTTTACATGTTTCAAACTGAACTTATTATGACCGATCCATTGGGACTAGATTGGATTAGTTTAAAAAATAATTTTCACAGATTAAAATCATGCGTCAGTTGAAGCTAGACCACCATTGAAAACGTGGAAGCACTAAAATCTCCACAAACCCCTTCTGATAACAAATAATTGTTTCTTGTTTTCTCTGTCATAATAAGAAAAAAAAACGAACTAATCCTATAGGTATTATTACCAAGGTTTGAATTGATAATTTCGAATAAATTGAGCATTGGGTAGATTGTTATAAATAAATTTATTATATTTGTATTATCCCAATGAGTAGAAAAATTAAATTTTCTGACGCTTCGTGATTTAGTGTAAGCCACCTCTTCAGAGAAATAAATGAGCAAATTAAAATTAATCGAAATTTGGTTTATTTGGTTATTTATTCTCTAAAGAAATGGATTACACTAAGTCATGAAACGTCAAAAAAATCTAATTTTTCTACTCATTGGGATAATACAAAATATCTTACTTACTTAAAACTAATCCGATTTAAAACTTAGCTACTTTACATGTTGAAACCTTTAGACTAACCTCTAAATAGAATTTTCTTAAATCGTTTAAATCCATTTCCACATTAAATTAAAGTTTATTAAATGAATGATGATGATATTACTAATAAGAATAATAATAGCTCGATATTACTTAGAACATTTTACAAAAGAAAAAAAATAATGAAATGGGAAAAATTTGTCTCAATGGTCATTTTCATTGGTTACACACAAATTAAAATAGAAATAGATATTTCCATTTTTCAACCAATCAATCAATTTCAACGCCCAAATCGTTTATACACATCCCCTATAGGATTCGAATACAAATAATAATATTTTTTTTCATAACGAAAAAGAAATTTGACTTGTTTTATTTTATCAACTTTTGTTTTATAATTAGGTTCTCCTTTTTATAAAAGAAACATTAAAGGCATTTTTATTATCAGAATGTGTTTTATGGAGATTTTAGAAATTTTCACAGATTGAAATCATGAGTCAGTTGAAGCTAGACCACCATTGAAAACCTGGAAGTACTGGACGGCCGTTTCGTCCTAGTATGGGACTCCTCGGCAGTGCGTATCCACGACCCCGCACCACCTGGGGCTCGAACCAACTTCGTGGATTGGTTGAAGTTAGACATTAACACATTTGGATACCGGCTCAGTGGTCTAATGATTAAGTGCTTGCACGCGAAGCCAGTAGGTCCTGGGTTCGAGCCCCGCGTGGTGCGGGGTCGTGGACGCGCACTGCTGAGGAGTCCCATACTAGGATGAAACGTCCGTCCAGTGCCTCCGGGTTTTCAATGGTGGTCTAGCTTCACTTGACTCATGATTTCAATCTGTGAAAATTAAAGGCATTTGTTTACTTAAATATCTTTTTGAATTGGTTTACATTCATGATCACAGTTTTAGTTTAGTGAAGAAAAATAT